GATGGCTAAGCTTCGTCTCTCCTACTTTGGACATGTAGTCCGGAGGAAACAATCGTTGGAGAAGGAAGTCATGCTGGGTAGGGTGGAGGGTCAGAACCACTGAATCGGTTCTGACAAAACACTGATCAATTCTTCCCCATCCTCACAATTGTTGTTACATCTGAGCCTGTTGCTGCTGGAGCCCATTGGCCATTCAGTACAATCTCAGATATCCTCAAAAGAATCATGTGCCTAACTTGCAGCACTATAGATTGCCTGTTTGGAGCCTTTCCAGAAGAGGAATTGCATAGTATGTGATCATTGGTACCTGCTCAGCACAGGGACGTCATATTTATCTATGATGTTGCCTGTAGTTGCTGGTTCACTCCCTTTTGCTGTGCAGTAATCCATTATGTAATGATACTGCATGTATTCATCCAGTCCACTGTGGACTTTTTGCAGTTTCCCATTTGGGAATATTATGCATAATTGAGTGCACTATTTCAAAAGTTGCTGAGGACAGCATACGCAGACCCTGGGTTGATCAGTGGCAGCCCCATTAAACCACCTCTGAATATAATCAGTTTAACCCAGATGCTCTTCTTCCTCCTGAAAGTATATAGGAATATTAAGAACAATGTAGCATTTTAGGTATAGATAAATGAAGCCCCAAACAAAAGTTTGCAAAGTGTACAGAGACAGCTTGGCTCCTTTCAGGAACCTTGCTTTATGTTATGTAGCCTTAAGAAACCGCACATTGCTACTCTAGATCATTTAAGCCTAAAAGTTAATATATAACAGCTTGATTGATCCTTTTTTCTGTAAAAATAAAAATGTTAGATTGTTAAGAAAAACTATGAAAATATCTTAAAAGTTGTTCCTGTGAATTATTATGTCCTGTTTTGAATGATTAATCACATTTCAGTTCCATATCCTGTCTTAATCACATCCTCCCTTTGTGACATCCTCCCTGAGTGAATTACATCCTTCCTTTGTAACAAATCCCTCCCTAAAAAAGAGAATAAAAGGCTGAGTTCTGCATGCAATGCTGTGCAATGCTGGGCAATGCTAGGCAATATGTTTGCAGATCTGTCTACCTACCAGCTTGCATCATATCTGTGTGTCTGTCTTTTTTGTATATATTTTGTCTCTTTCTTTCTCTATCACTTTCGCCACCAGATCTCCCTTCTTCGTGACACCCACACTTCCTTGTCGAGGCAGGACCCCGACACAGGACCTCGACAAAAAGTATCATTTTGACCATGCATTTCCCATGCACCTAATCCTTTTGTGTTTCTCCTTAGCTTTCTGAAGGAACTCAAAATCTTTAGATTAGCATATCAGCTTCTTCTCTACCTTAGGTAATTCTCTACTGTCCTCGTCTGTCTTTGGTTCTTTTCCCCGTTTCTACCACCTTATGTTCCATTAAAACATATGCATTATCTCATGACGTCATCGGGGAGTACTGGATTCTAAGACGAGTTATAAGAAACACCCGTAGCTTGAAGTCTTACCTAAGTTACATTTACTGTGAAGCATTCAGGGTGTACAGTTTTCTACTGAGACAACAGTTGGCATGAAGGTGGTGGGTGCAAAGAGCACCTCATTGGAGTTGTGCCTGGGTGGTGATAACTGCATGCCTATTTCATCATGCCAAGTACAAGATATGCCAAACTTCTCCTACGTCAAACCGTAAAAAGAAAGTATGCAGTGTTTGTTTTGTTTGTTTGTTTGTTTGTTTCTGTTACCTGGTTATAGAACTTACCTTAGAAAAGCTATTTTGCTAAGAGCAAAAATCAAGGTTACCAGCATAAATTTTTTAAGGTCACCAGTGCCACCTTGCCACACCCACCACATATGGGCAACTGTCACATGATGGTCAGACTGTATATGACCACCATCTCACTGGGTCCAGGAAGAACTGGACATAACAGGCTGTCCAAAGCCTCAAATGCTAGTCTCTATCTCTGTTTCTTCCAATATTCAGAGGCTGGACTCCTCATCATGAAACATCTCCCTCTCTGTTCTCCTGGTAGCTCTCTTTCACTTAGAACCTCCTCTCTCACTCTTGTCCTGAAACACCTCCAGGTCAGCTGGAGCCATCATCCGTCTGTCCTCCTGCACACACCACTTGTCACTCTACTGTCATTGTCCCTTTCTGTGTCTAGATCTTGAAAAAATCAGCATGAAAAGCTGATTAAAATATATATATATATACACTAGAGGAAATAAAAGTGATCCAGAGACACTCACCTATCTGAGAGATGGCCAAATACGAGGCCTCCTACCAGAGTCCCAACCATGAAGAGGAACTGAACCACTGATCTCAGTGATTTGGATCCACATACCAGGTCCCACTGGAAGAGAAGGAAACACAGTTACACAAGAGTTTCCAACACCTCAGTGGGAACCAGCTGCAAACACCTTGCCAGTTTCAGTATATCAGTCCTGGTGTGGCGCTGGGGGTTCATGTGCTGGACTGCAAACAGTCGCTTTGAATTGCAAGGCTGGTGGTTCAAGCTCACCAGCCGCTCCTCGGAAACCCTATACAAGGTTACTGTGGGTCAGAACCAACTATACAGCACTTAACAACAACAACAAACGTTCCTCCCCAGTTTCCTTTTATGGCATTAACCACTGCCTTGGAGGCATTTCTGATTTCCAGAGTAGAACTGCTGCCATTGAGTGTCCAAGGCTGTCAACCTTTACAGAAGCAGAGGGTCACATCTATCTTCTTCAGAGAAACAGGTGGGTTCCAACTTCAGACTTTCTGGTTAGCAACTGAGTGATTCAACCACTGCACCAAAAAAGCTCCTTTTTACCGCGTTAGTTGAACTTTATCAATCAAATCTCAGTTTAAGCACAACTTTTCTCTAATACAACTTGCTTACACCTGAGGGTTTATATTCCCTGTCTTTATATTCATTTCGTACTTGACACTAAGTGGTTCTCAATCTTGACCACACCGTGAAATCAATGAGGAGTTTAACAAACTTAGCGATGCCTGATTTTTAACCTCAGATCTTCCCTGAGGGGCAATATGAGTCTGGAAGTTTTGTCAATATTCCTTGATATTTCCAATTTGCAAACAAGTTTAGCATTGCTGACTTCAGTCGCTTGTCACACATTATATATATATATTACTTGCTTAAGCATTGGCCTTCCCAAGTATAAAAGCAGCCTACGATTATTCTGTTTTTTAATTCGTTAACTTGTCTGCACATGCCTTGCATTTAATGCATAAGCAATGAACACTTGATAAAAAAAAAAAATGAAACTCACATAATGACTAACGGCTTGAACCAAGCTAATTGCTTGTGTTTCCTCTGAACACCCAGATCGTGTACTCACAGGTGGAAGATGGGACCTCTCACCTTTGTCACAATGGTTGAAGGGAAGATGCTCTTATCATACACCCAACCATCCACACAGGGCTCTGTGTCTAGCTCACTTGTGTTGTGGGAAGCCCCATTCAAGTGAAGGAGCTGCCACTGGGGGTGGAGGAAGCGATGGCAGTTCTCTGGCTTCAGGTTTGAGTCCAGTGGGATAGAGATTCTCAGGAGGGCTTCGTGACTGAAGGTCCCAGTGCCATTATCAGAGACGGTGACGTTGTCAAGAATATAGACCCAGCAGCGATGGCCAGGAATGGCAGCAGTAAAGTTCTCCAACACAGTATGCATGAACACTATCATATTGGAAGTAACAAGAAAAGCAATCTGAAGGATCTGGAATCTTCCCTGACCACCAGCTTGATGCAGAAGGTCCTGAAATCCCATGGAGAATGAACAGGTAATCCTCAAACACAGGCAAAATGACTTTATGTAGATAAATTCAAACAGAGATGTCTCTTTTTGGTAAGTCGCACTGCATTAGTGTTGATTTTGACACACTTTTCTCTTCAACGGGCCCAATGCCACCACTGCGGCAGAGTGAATGGATACAACGTCCTCAAGTTGCTTTGGGTCACCTATCTAGCTGTTTTCAGAGGTAATAATTTAACAGAGATATTTAAGTCTGTGTAAAGGTCTTCTCTGAAAATGCTTGTTCTCGGAAGTACCTCATTGCCACTATTGGACTTTAATCTCTAAATACTTCCTAAACAAATTAAGAAATTTGCTACATGGTTTTGCAGTTATTTCTAAAAATGTAATTAGTGAGACTGAAAAACAGGCCAACTGTCTCATGATTTATCTGTGGAAAGTACAGTATGCAACTGTTTTTCTTGTTTAATACTGAATTTTAATGATCAAAGCTAATGGAAATAATCTTGGGTTAAATTGACGCAAGTGGAATATGTCGCAATTGTTCGCTTTTCTCAACACACAGTCTATTTCAGTTCATATCACACCAGGGACTTACAATGACGTAAGGTTCTGACGATAGGGAAGGGTGGGTAGTGACGTACTACAGAGCAGGAAGCCAGGGATAAGATATTTAACTTTTCACTTGCCAGATTCTTAAATATATGTATCCCATTTGTTCAATTTTCCTTTGCTAGTTCTTTGAATAAAACAATATGTAAGATAGGATCTTAATGGATTTTATAGTCTAGTGAGTAAGGGAATGGAAATATAATTACACTTTGATGTTTAAGATATATATGTATTTGTTGAGGTGGTGGCTCTATGCCAAATGTGTTATGAAAGATCTAGAGAAAATATAGTGGGAAACGTCCCCTTGATTAACGTTAAATTTTCCACTAACTAATTATACAGTGTTATTGAGATGTAATTCATATATCTTACAATTCACCCTTCAAAAATGTACAGCTACGTGGGTTTCGTTTATCACAGAATTGTGCAACCTTAATTGTTCTTCTTAAGTGCCGCTGAGTTGACATCACCCACGTGTGACAGGTTAGAACTGTCCAAAGGGGCTTTCTCGGCTGCAAAGCCGTTTGAGCTGAAAGGTTGGCGGTTCAAGCTCACCAGCTGCTCCTCAGAAACCCTACACAGGGTCGCTATGGGTCGCGATCGACTTGACGGCTCTTAACAACAACAACAACAATCTTTATGAAAGCAGGTCACCAGGTCTTTGACCTGCAAAACCAGTGGATAGGTTTGAAACACCAACATTCAGTCACCAGCCGAGTGCTGAGTCATTTCACCACCAAGCTCTGCGAGCAGCCACGGTCATTATTTAATTACGGAAATTTTCATCACCACAAAAAGAAATCTGTTCACATTAGCAATCCCTTCTCATTGCCCATCCCCCAGTTTCTTGGCAACCACTAATCTACTTTCTGGCGCTATGAATTTGTCTACTATATTTCATGTAAATAGATTCATAATGTTTGGTCCTTTGTGTCGGACTTTTACTGGTTGTTACAGCTGTTGTTAAGTGTTGTCGAGTCAGTTCCGACTCATAGCGATCCGATATAGCGTTTCCAAGGAGCGACTGACTGGTGAGCTTCAAAGTAACCTTGCAGTCCAGCACATGAACCCACAGTGCCACACCAGGACTCTTTTAGTTAACAGCATGTTAAGATACTGATACATCCATGTGGAAGCCTGTATCAGTATTTCATACCTTTACATGACTGACTAGTTTTCCATTATATGAATATACTGAATTTTTGTCTACTCATTCATCAGTGGATCAAAATTTAGTTTCTTTCTACTTTCTGACTGTTATGAATAATGTTGCTGTGACCATTTGCATACCTGTTTTCTATGAACATAGGTTTCAAGTTCTCTTAAGTATCTAGGCAAAAAAAATTGTTGGAACGTATGACAAGTCTATGTTTAGCAATTTGAAGATCTACTGAACTGTTTTGCTTAGTAGGTATTCTATTTTCATCTCCACTCTTGTGTGGCACTGAAGGAGCTCTGGTAGCGTAGTGGTTACGAATCAGGCTGCGAACCTTAAGGTCAGCTGTTCGAAACTACCAGCCGCTCCGCGGGAGAAAGATGAGGCTTTCTACTCCAGTAAGGATTTACACCCTCGGAAACCCTGTACAGGGTCGCTATGGGTCGGAACCGACTCGACGGCACTTAACAACAACAACAACAGCTAACTGAAAGGTCAGTGGTTCAGATCCACCAGTCGCTCCTTGTAAACACTATTACAGGGTCACTATGAGTCAGAACCAACTCAAAGACTCTTAACAACAAAGCCATGTATAAAATTCTATTTTCCCCACTCTCCTGCCAACACTTATTATTATCTGTGTTCTTATCATAGGATTACAGCCATCTCCTGAGTCATTCAAATGATTAACGCACTCAGCTGCTAACTTAAACTTTGGGGGTTTGAGTTCATCAGGAGCTGTGTCAGAAATAAGTCATTGAAACCTCTACAGTGTTTTCTACTGTGACACACGTGGGGTTACCATGCATCAGACTCAAACAGATAGCAACGAGTAATGTGTGTGCAGTGCTCGTTAATAAGGGATGGCAAAAACTTGTAGCTGAATTCAGAAAAGGAGGTGGATCAAGGGATATCATTGCTATTGTTGATGGATCCTGGCTGAAAACAGAATGTCAGAAAGATGTTTCCCTGTTTTTACAACTATGTGAAGGCATTTAAAAAGAAATTATGGATAATATTGCAAAGAATGGAAATTTCAGGTCACATAGATTGTGTACACGGATCAAGAGACAGTCATTCAAATGTTGTTGTTGTTCGGTACCTTATGCACAACAGAACAAACCACTGCCCAGTCCTGTGCCAACCTCACAATCGTTAAACTTGAGCTCATTGCTGCTGCCACTGTGCCAATCCATCTTGTTAATGATCTTCCTCTTTTTCGCTGACCCTCCACTTTACCAAACATGGTATATTTCTCTAGGGACTGTTCCCTCCTGGTAATATGCCCAAAGTAGGAGACACGAAGTCACACCATCCTGGCTTCTAAGGAGCATTCGGTTGTACACCTTCCAACAGATTTATTTGATATTCTGGTAGTCTATGGTACTTTTAATATTCTCCAACACCATAACTCAAATGCATCAATTCTTCTGCGGTATTCCTTATTCACTGTCGAATTTTCACATGCGTATGAGGAGCTCTGGTAGCGGAGTGGTTATGAATCGGGCTGCGAACCTTAAGGTTAGCGGTTCGAAACTACCAGCCGCTCCGTGGGAGAAAGATGAGGCTTTCTACTCCCGTAAAGATTTACACCCTCGGAAACCCTGTACAGGGT